TGAAGAAGTTCCTTCTGGTTCTAGAATCTTTGAATAAACATTAATTCAAATTCTAGCTAGCTGACAGGTCTAGCTGCAGAATAATCCAGGAGGAATCAATGTATTATACTGAGGGATCTGTTCAGCTGCACATAATGTACAATCAGAACTCTCTAAGGCCTTGCCCCAAATCATATTCAGTATGAGATGTTAATGTTTTGAATATATATATGCTGGCTGACAAGTGTTCTGCTCAGTGTTGCCTGAATTTCACAGTATAGCCCAGAACAAACTGTGCATGAGATCAGTAGTACAGCTAGACACAGGGGGGACTTAACATTACTTCAGACATAACAGCATGTTATGGAGGAGGAAGTTGGCATTGAATTCTTTGGGTACAATAAAACATTGGTGTTCACTAACTCTGGTTGAGCTACTGAAGAACTGTTACCTTGCAAAGAAAAGGCATTATTGCAGTCAAAGGTAAGCTTAAGCTCAGACAAGTTTAAATCCTGTCCAAGAAAAGCATTACATAAATTGAGAGTCTGTATTAACCAAAATATTATGGACACCTGAAAGGAGGTCACTATCCCTTGTTGCAGATGAGCTTATAATGAGGAATGCTGCCTTAAGCACATGCAGTGTCCCTACTAGACCGAAAGTGAGCAAGGTTGAGGAGTGATACGTGTACTGAAATTTTCTGTGTTTGGAGGATTTCTGACCTAACTCCATGTGTATTAAAACTATTATTGAAATGCCCAAATGTGAACACAGCATAGAATATGTAGGTCTTATAAATTATCTTTCAAGATATTGGATCAATCAGAGGCCCTTGAAAATACCTTATTTCTAATGCACCATGAGAATGGTTACAAGTCTTATATTAGCAATATGAAAGAGTAAAATAAATGATGCTAGTCCTAATAGATTATAATATTGCTAGCAACTAGAACTAAGTGATTCAGGTAAGTTCTAATTTTTTTCAAAAGACTTACAAATTGCATTATTGAAAGACTGTGATCCTCATGTCATTATGCAAAGAGATTCTGAATGATCTCCTAAATTTCTATCTGTGGAACAGTTACAGACCAAGGTAGCAAGGTGCAATAAAGTCTTCAACTTCTAAGCCTGATGAAAATTTATTGTGGAAAAAGGAAACTAACTTGATCTCTGTTGCTACTGCATATTAAATCATTGAAAACTTAATAGAGTCTGTTTTGATTGCAGAGTTTTTTATCTACTTACTATATTCCAACTCCATTTCATACTGAGATTATTATAATGTAGTCTTCTACTGCAAATATTATATATTAGATGAACTTGTAAAGAGACAGGAAGTGGAAGTCATGATAAATGAAAAATGTTTAAGTGGATAAAACTGTAGGAAGTGGATATGCTCCTCTTATAGGGAGAGAGAGGAAGTTTTGTTTGCTGTATGGACTCAGTTCCCAAATAATGGGTGAGGCTAGAGGCTAGACACATCAAATAGTGGGTTTTCTTTCTAAGGAAACTGTAGCATACACCAGATTACAAGTATTTGAAGTTATATTTACAGTAATAGATTCATCCAATCAAAACCATTATGCCCATCCTCAGGGTTTCAACAGACAGTCCAAATCAACAGCATAGTATGTGTGTCTGATCCTATATATGAGTCAAAAGCAACCTGCTGCAGTTCAGTTTAGCAAAATAGTGGTGTTAATGACAATTTAGGTGAAAGAGCAAAACTATCTAGTAAAAACAGTGCTGACTCCTTTGGTTGATATTTTTTGTCATTTAAAGTGCCTGACATTTTAGGAGGGATTCTTTCCCATTTATTGCTGTTAGTCATGCTCCAAATAATAAGCCATTCAACTTCTTGTCAGCTGCATATGGCCAGGACCCTGCAGCCTCTGTTTTTGAATGTGGACTTTGCCTGTTATGCAAGCTTCTCTGGTATTTAATTAGACTTTTACATGGAGCTAGGTATAGCTGACTTGGCACCATGATTTAAGAACTCGTTTGGTTATATGGTGGGTATTTCTCTGGTGTCTGTACTTGTTGGCTCTCAGCTATTTTCAGCTATTTCCCACCTCCTAGGGCTACATTAGGGTTTGATAAAAAAGGGATCACAAGTAGCAATAGTGGCCCTCTGGGATGTCTAAAAAGTTCTTTTTACAGAAGGTTGCCAAACTCATTCCTCAAACTAGAGGCAAGGAGAAACCTTTTGTAATGGCCTGTCTGTCTGTCTGGATAGAGATATTCTTTTTATCTGAACATTTATGTTTTAAAGCTTGTGACAGACTGTTTCATTGCTTGAAGGGAAGAATGCTGTATACAGTGTATGTTGTGAAATGTGACATTGAACAAATGTGAAAGTCTGCTTTGTCCTATCCTTATCAATTTTTTTCCTTTGTTTCCTTCCAGTTGTGGCCATAGTTTTAAGTTATTTTCATTCTTCTCTGGGACATACACTGAATTAATTTTGTAGCTCAAATAGCAGACAGACTCCTCTGGTTATTTGTGGTGGGCTAAAAGACAGAGAGTCTGAGACCAGTTAGGAAGAAAGGTCAATGTTGAGAGCATGGTAGGATAATGGCTGAATCACAGTCAGTAGAACTGGGTAAGTGTCAGCAATACATTTCATCGATAGGAAGCCTTTGACTTTAGGGAGGATGAAAGAAGCATTCAGCATGTCTTCCAAAGAGAATGTCTGTGTGATTGAAAACTGAACTGTGAGGGATTCAATGTTTTGAGGGGTTCAATATCTTTATAAACATGAAGAGATGAAATAAATAACAAAGAAAAAGCCTTATCATCACCATTCCTTAACTGCTTAGATAATCTTCCTGCTTGGATCCTTACAACTGCATAAAGTTTGATTTACTTTACTGTGGTGAGGTCAGGGTCTAAAGAAATATTTTTCAGGCAAATAATAGTTAAAATCCATTAGTGCTTTGTGATATAATGGTGAATTTTAGTTTGAATTTCATTTCAGAGAGCATACCACTCTATGCTCTTGAGAGTGTACCATTTCATGGGCTGCAGCTTCCAACTATTGCTTTGCTATCAGCATTTTACTCCTTTCATACACGACATGTACTCTTCCTAAACTCTTACTCAGTTAAACTTGAAAACACATTCCATAATTGCTAAAAATATTACTTCCATTCTGTGGCTTTGAGCTGATAAGAATAATTTCTACTGCTGCAGCTTGAAGTGGTGAGATACATGAGGTAAAGGAGCTAAATGTCAGATAAGTTCAAATACATTGTGCCAAACCTTAGTGTTCTTGATTCCTTGGTTGCTTATAGAACTAAGGAACTAGTAGAGCATTCAAGTTGCACTTGAATAACTAGGAAGGAAGAGTGGAGGACACTACTTACTCCAGTAATCCTAATTTTAATTCTTTCACTATGTGAGTTTTCCACCAATCCACTGAACTGACAAGGTAGCCTCTGACACACTGGGGGTGTGTGCGTTTTTTTTTTTTTTTCCTGGATATATATATCTAGCATAATAAGGGTAAAAATTGTACTATATTATACGATTTTAAATAGTAGAAGCAGCATTCTTTCTTGGGAAAGAATGCAATTAGAATCATTTTTTATTTTAGAATATTAATTCAGTAAGAAGATTAATGTAAGCCTGTAAACTTCTCAGTTAATACCTTTATTTTTTCAGCAGAATGCAATGCAATTGCTACCTGGATGCCGATAGTAAATAAACTGCTTTATTGAATGGCTATAATAAAGGCTGGTGAACCATAGTTTTTATCAAAATTATATTTAAAGACAATTTTCTAGAGGAGGGAAAAAAAGGCAGAGAGTTATGTTTTAAAAAGGTGGAGAGATAAAGACTCTATTGCTACTGAAAAACGACATCTCCTGTGTAGCCTGTTGGGCATCCTGACAGACAGTATGCTTTGGAACCAAATTCTGAACTTTAGGAACATGTTTTATTAATACTCTGCTGGAATTAAGCCATGGTTGCAAAAGATACTATGAAATATTCATACTATTCTAATTTAGGATCGATATTCATATCTTTTGCATTATTGACTAGGATCCTCTTTGTTTCTTAGTTTTAAAGCCCAGTCTAAGAGTTACAGTAGAGATTTTTACACATCAAAAAGTGATCAGACTAATTGCCAGAGAATCAAAGAGTAAGTCAGGAGGGAGCTGAAACATTCCAACTTCCTGCTCAGAACAGCTGTGAGAGCAGGTCAATTAATTCATAGTTCTTTAAAGGAATATTTTTATATATCTGAAAACACTGTGTTTTCTTTCTAAATAGCAGGCTCTCTACTGTATTGTTTTAGTACAGAATGATGAAGTTTGACCTTAAGAAAAGGCTATTTAGGAACCTTAATTATGAACAGAATCTTCTAGTCAAAAAGAGATCATGAATAGTGCCAAACTATTCTCCAGCTATGTACCAAATATGCTGTGGTCTAGGATGTACCAAATTTTGCTTTGGGAAATGATGGCACAGAACGTAGAAAAAAAAAATGCAAAAATCATTTTTAATGCTGATTTTTTCTTTTCTTTGTTAAGTTGTGCCAGGGAAAGTTGAGGTTAGATATTAGGAAAATTTTCTAAGAAGTGGAAAGTGTGGAGGAGTCCCCATCCCTGGCAGTGTTCAGGAAACATGTAGATGAGGCATACAGGGACATGGTTTAGCAGGCATCTTGTTGAAGGGTTTACGACTGGACTTGATCTTAAAGATCTTTTCCAACCATAATGATTCTATGATTCTATGAAAGGTTGGTATCAAAATTCAGATGTGAATTTTTGGCTCAGAAGGCAGGAGGCATTTTGAAAGACGTAAGGAGGTATTGTTCCATTATTTTACATACAGTGTGTTAGAGATTCAGAATAGAGTACTAGAATTTTTCATATTTGGGCCAAAAGATGTTATGTATTGTAGATTGTATACTATATAACCTTTCAAACCCCTGAAGTTTCCCCCTGCCTAATAATTTATTTCTTAGTTAATTGTGTTGTTTGAGATGGTGAATAATGCCTTTTTTTTTTCCCCAGTGTGACAATGCAAAAGGACTCAAAGCCTTCTATGATGCAATAAAATATGGACCTAATCACCTGATGGTTTTTGGTGGTGTATGTGCAACAGTTACTTCTATCATTGCTGAATCTCTAAAAGGATGGAATTTGGTTCAGGTAAGCCATCAAATAGCATATATTCAAATGCGGAATATCTGTATCTGTAATTCTCCATTTTTTTTTAAGTTACATTAAGCTTAATATTTTGAGTAATGAATATTTGACAGTTTTGAAGGTCAGTGAAGTTATGTGAAAAGACTGACAGCTATTTCTATTATTAGATTCTAAATCTTGTGAGTATGTGACAGTGTCCATGTGTCTCAGTATGTTAATTAAATACAATTTTTTGATGTATATCAAAAAGCAACCTAAATTAAAAAAGGATTGATCGTGCTGTATGAGTCAATCTAGGTCTTACCCAAACTTAGAAGAAATGATGCATCAGGCCTGAAATTAAAATCCACTAAGATCTTTACTAAGTTGGTACTCAATCACTGTGAAATAATTCCTACTGATTTTAAGTGTTAGAAGTACATGAATTTTAAATTGTAACCAGCTAGGTATCTCAGTATCTGGCTCACAGAGCACATATAATCTCAGCTGCTCTTCTTTCTGACTTTCTTAAAGGTTGAGTTTGTGGAAAGATTTCCTCCACAGAAGAATCATAATTTTTTAATACTATTTCTTAAATGTTCGGCAAAATGCTAATATAGCACAGCAATTACCTTAGGTTTCAGTTACAATACAGACCTCTCTTTTTTACCTAAGATACTCACTGTAATTAGCACACAATGAGCAAATGATGCATAATTAAGCTCATGAAGATGATGATCAGAGTGCAAGCTGGAAATTCTTGTGATGATAATTAAAACAGCTTGTTAGATCTGTTTGAAACGCTTGTCATATCAGATCCTTTTTTTATATACTTCAGGATATTTTCTGATGTGAAAAAACATTAATTTTACTGTGACAACAAAATAACAGTGTATCTCTGGAGAGAGAGCAGAGAAAGCCGCAAAAAGCTTGAAACTGTGGTCTCATAAAATGGCCAGGTCCATGGCCAAGGATGAAGTATGTGACCGGAATTTTTGAATACGTGACTTCTATTTTGGAAGCTGTCAAATGAAATTTCCAGATTATGCAGGATGTTATAAGGAGATGGATTTCCTTACGCTAAGTCATTTTCATTTGCAGTCAAGCTCATTATGCTGAGGTCTGTAAGCCAATTTTTAACGCAGTTGCTTAGTCAAGAAGGAAAAGAAATTAGAAAGTTTCTATTTCCTTTTAAATGGCTGTATTTGTCAATATATGTGGTAGCTTAATGATAGGAAATATTGCTACCAAACAGCATTTATTTCTTTGTATTTACCAACTACAGCTGTAATTGTCTTAAACATTATTAATGATACCAGTGCAACAAGGGATTCTCTGCTGCTAGGGATTAGTATCCTGTAGACACTAGATAAATCCTCAAATGGCATGAACCACATCATGTCAGGATTTTATATATTGATTGGTTAAATCATGAAAGAATGCGAATGATAGCATGGCTGGAGAGTGTATGAGGCGTAGTGGATCTATAACAGCAGCAATGGAAACAACCTAGTGGCAGCCTGTAAAATAGTGACAGCAATATATGTATCTGCTAGTCAGCAGAAATAGCATGTATAAGGTAGTGGGGAAATGAAATACAAATCTTTCCTCTCCTAAGGATCCACAATCATGAGTATCATGATTCAAAGCATAACTTGAATGGAAAGAATAGACAGAAATCTATAGTTTTTGAAAGCAGAAAATAATATTTACCCTGATAAAACAAGACTGTCTTCTCTCAAAACTTGAAAATTCTCAAGGAATCATAGGAAACTCATACATATAAAGAGATATGTGAACTTTTAATCACTGTGAAGTCATTTTATGTTGAAATCAAGAAATAGAAATAATGAAAACAGCAAAATCCATTTATCTTTTCCTGCATAAGCAGTTATAAAAGTAGAGCTTTTAATCCTAGCAGGAAAAAATGTTTTGATTTGATTTGATTTACACAAGTGTGATTGACCAAAAAGAAGACAGTTTTCCATTCAAGAGAAATGCAGGATGATACTGAGAGTACTGGGAGAAATAGGAAAGAAAAGAGGATAAGAGAGTAAGATAACTGAAAAATCACTTTCCTTAGTGAATACTAGCAAATGTGTCTGCCTGGAAAATCTTTCTCAAATCTTTTAGCCCTATTTCCAACTTTCCAGGTGAGTATGTTTTCTATGTTTGGAGGATATTCTTTTTTCTTCTCTTCCCTAGTCTCTTCACAAAATAAATAAATAAATAAATAAAGTTAAAAACAAGCAGCAAAATAAAATTATAAGAGTATCTTAGAATTCTAGAAAATATTATGTTTTAAATACAATTGAAATAATTATCAGAGGACAGAAAACGAGGTTAATTTTTGGAAGAGAGCTTCAATCTTTACCTTCTTTACTGTATGCTGTTCCTAAGGACAAAGTCTTTTAGACATTAGCTTTGCTGCTTAATTGAGTTCACAGCTTGCGACAATGTGAAATAGGAAAACTATCAGAACCTAAAAAGGTCTCTATCTGAAGCTTACTCTTTTTTCCTTTTTTGTATCTGAGAAAAAAAACAGGTTGTTTTAGACAGCTAACCCTATTTCATCATTAAATGATTGAGGGAACTGAAGGGAGTAATTCTTGAAGAGAATAATCTCTATGTACCAGTAGTCATTACTTTGTTGAGTTTAATCTGAGCATTGGAAAATCTTAGCATGGACTACATATGTGTAGCTTTGGTCTGCAATTTGTGCTCTAGAATCCATTTGATCCTTTGATATTTTGGTTGTAAAGTATTAATAATCTGTGTTTTACAATGATTCACTTGATGGTGACCCTGCGTGTGCAGAGGGGTTGGACTAGATGACCTCTAGAGGTCCCTTCCAACCTTAAGCATTCTATGATTCTATTTGGTTGTTGCTTTCCTCTAGGGTGAATGCTCCAATATCAGTTTCTTCAGAAAATTTTCTTCACTATTTTACAGGCTACCACTATCCTGAATCTTTTTCAATGTGTATTTGAGGCCATTAAGCAGATGGGAGAAAGTGCAATAACAGTATCTATAGTAGTTTGTAAATGACCAACATTTTAAAATAAAATACTTATATTTTTTGAGCTACATTGTAACTTCATTTTGGAGTTTTTCCTTTTTATTTTATATTGTGCTGTTTACATTTTCCTAGAGCCAGCTTCCTTTTTATTTTCCTTTAACTCTGGAAATGGGCTCTTTTAGAAACAAAGTCTAAATATAACTGCTTACTTGAAATATCTTCTTCTTTTAAATATTTAATGTAAACCAGTCATAACTACTGGCTTCTAGTCAGCTAACTGCTACAGTGATTAGGTCATAATGACATTCAGAACAGAGAAAGCTTGCTTTAGGTGCAGCATTTCGTGTTTCTTAAAAATGATAGCGATATTAATGATAATGTTTTTGTGGGATGGCCTTCTAGCCCACATTCTTTCACACAATGGAAAGAGTTGTTACACTAAAAAAAAATCCTTTTGTTTTGCTGCTCAGTGTAATATAGTATTAAGGTGTCTACTCCTATTTTTTTTTTTATCCCTGAGATCCACAGGCATAGTGTGTCTGAATTACCAGAAAGACTGCTGGTACCCCCAAAAAAGTCACTGATGTTTCTCTTCCATAGTTTCTCCCTGAAACAATGCTGATGTGATTGCATTATCAGTTGCTTCTAAGAAGTTCTGACCACTGGCCAACTTCAACTAAATGTTAACAAAATATTTCCATAGGGTTATTAGGTTCTATACTTTTTTTTGAAAATGAGCTGCTGGGAAGAGGAAGAGCTGCAACATGAGCAGAGAGATAACTTGGAAGCAGCCATGACATATGTTGCTCCTTGCCTAGATGGGATTTATGGGAAGAATTGACTGTACAGAGCAGATAGTCAAAAAGCAGTGGTAACAAACTGGAGAAAATTCAGAGGTAGGGTAAGTCCAAAATGAAAATAGACACTGGGATGTGTTCTTAGGGGACATGCATCCAAAGAAAACCATCAAAATACTTGCTGATACTGAATTCCATGACTACATCAGTGCTATAACCAGTGTTTTTAACGGTTATAGCAAGTAAACAGAATATATATCAGTAAAGCAAGCCATTGCACAAATTTCTATACTGACCACTGAGTCAAATTTCTTATTTTTAGTATCTGGATATTCTGAATTCCTATGCTTGTTACCCAGAGCTTTGGCATGGGCATGAAAGCAGTTGAAAAAAAAAAAAAAAACACATTCTTTTCACATTCCTTGTCAAGTTTGTTCCAGCACAGTGAGTTTGTTCTACTTTTGCCTTCACTGCACAATTTCCATGCATTATTGGTCTGAATAAAGAAGAGAGTATTTAAAATTCTTTTTGGCGCCTTCTATCTGTGTGAGGCAGATAGGTCCAGTTAAACAGACCCTTCTCCTGCTGGATTATTTCGCAATGCATCACAAAACTAGAGTCTTCAGTTTCTGAGCCAGCAATTTGCCATTCATCATTTTTTTTTAACTGTTTCCCTATTTTCTCTCCTGAGATTGGATGGATTTTCTAGAGTCCTTTTTTTTATGTTGTATTTTTAGCAGGCAGTGTGTATGAATGGAAAAAAAACTCTTTTGGTCTTATTATCTAAAATATAATTTTGATGACTTTCTGGTCCACCTTTCAGGAGATAGCTAAGGAAATTTTTCTGTCTTCATCACTGTAATACCTGAGAGTTCCTAGAAGAAAACAAGACCGATCTTTGTATAGAATTTAATGTGAAGTTTCTCTTCATTTGAGGAAGGGTTGATGAATTTAGAGGGAGACGGACCTTTCAGTTTTGCACATTTACCTATTGATACTTCTAGCAGGATCTTTGTTTGTTAAAAACAAATTGGAAGAACCATAACTCTGAACTTGTTTGTGTCTGTGTGTATGCATAAGTGTGGATATGCACAAGATAGGTAGAGCACATTTGTACTGAAGAACTTAGTAATTGTAAGACTCTCTTAATCTAGGAGAAATGCATGTTGCAGTCCACCAGTGAAGACTAGACCAGAGCAGAAGTATTA